AACAAAAAGTATTTTTCTGTTTACTGTATATCTGTATTCAACCAACCCTGAATAGATTGTTTTGGCAGCATATCAGAGAAATGAGCATACTTTTCATCATTATTTAGCAAATCAAAAACACTGGACATAACATCCATGCACCGTATCAAAAATGTAATCTGGTGTTTGACTTTACCACCTGCAACCAGTCGGCGTCATGGTGACACCAAGCTGAAGGTGCAGAATATTTCACACTCAATACTGGCTGTTGACTGCGAATACTTTTTTGCTATCAAACTTCACGGAAGCCGTAACGACACTCAGTAGCAGAACACTAGGACACATAAGTTGGAGTATCACCTCGATTCAGAGTTAGGCTCAGAAAGCGCAGGTTGCGACGACCGAGATACCGGATGCCGGTACAACCCACAATATAACAGCTCTTAGTCATTTCATGTAAAACCGCTCAAGAGGAACTTATAGCCTGAACTTGTCCGGCATGAAGTGTCGCTGCAGATAAAAGACACGACTGTAGAAGTGATTTACTTGAGGCAAAACCGTTATAGGGCTTCCCGACCTATCGGAAGTCAAGTCATACCCAATGAACCACTGGAAAGTTTAAAACCCAACCCTTTCATACTTTGTGAAAAATGTACATTACCCCCCACTCCAATCTACATTATCCCCTCATTCTTCCTAAAAAAATAGTAGAGTTTTGTCACCCAATTATGTTAATGCTCTTGAATCGTTTATTTCCTGATTTGGTTTCATCGAAGGTGTCCACGAGTGGAGATGCATCTTACGTCGTCAGCTTTTCATCTTTATTTTGTCACTGTCGTTGTGCTGTCCTGTATATGTATTTCCTGAGAGTGTGTTTGCTCACTTATGTACCGTTGATTAGCGACGATAACATGTAATTAATAAAGGTTTAATTGCCAAATTTTGAGAGTAAAGCGCATTGATGAGAATCAATCTATCAGAAGTTAAACATAGCCCGCTAGTTGATTAAATAAAATGTCTGCTCAAAAAAACAGCAGCAGAAAAAGCAAAGAAATCAAATGAAAAATACAGGCAATTGTACACACATAACAGAAACGTATAGTTACTCTCAAGAACTCGTATTTTCACACAGCTGCTACACAGAAAACTCCGAAGGTAAATAAGTTTTACAAGAAACATCATTTACACACCTTTTAAGCGTAAACGTGTTTCTAAAACCAAAGCCAAAAAGTAAATAAATTTATACGCCCTAAAGTTTTTCACTTAAGAGAGGATTGATCTGCGCACTCCATAAGCCGAGTATTTCGAAAAGGTTACTTCGCAATACAAGTAAAAAGAACTTATAAGAAGTTTGAAGACGTAAAAATTATACCACAAAATGTCCTCAACCTACCCTGAGTGCAAAATTTAGACTCTCACTAGAATGATTTTTTTAATAGATAAAGAACCATAAAAAGTATAAAAATAACCTGTAACAAAGAAAAAACAAGGAAACAAAACTCAAAACAAAGAATCACTACTCAGTTTCTTTCCTCCAGCTGCTATTGCAAAGGCACTCGAGAGTGTTGCGTGGTTTTCCCTCTGTGGTTTACTACCCAACTTCCTTAAGCCATCTAAGCAGGGCGAACTACTCACATACGCACGTGTCATCTCGTCTGTAATAACTAAACACTTATTACTTGTGACCTCCGTACGTAAAAAAGGACGTACCTTTGGCCTGAAAAACAAGAAATCGAATCTTGAAAAAAGTTTTTACCAAGCAAAAAAATATGCGCGACGAGAATGGAACAGAGTCTTACTGTATCATTACTTTCATCAATTCGAGAAAGTTGATTCAAAACCTCTTCATTACGAAGAATCAGTTGCAAGATCTAAATGAGAAAAAGCCTCGACAGCTCTGAAGAAAAAATGATTTGCAAGCCGTTCAAAAGTATGCTTTTCTAATTCAAAAACCGTCACAAATCTGAATAAGAAGGTAATGCTTCTTCAAGAAAGAAACTGTATACAGTCAACTCCAAATTAACTAATTCACCTCGTTAGAGCATCGTTTCCAGTTACAATTTGAGCACAGTGCAAGGCAGAAACGTATCATGAGGTCCACTGCTCCCATGTAGACTTGCTTAAGAGTACGATCTCTAAAAAAACCTTCTCAAGAAATGGCTCGTAAAAAAACTCCCTAGTACTGCACTTCATTAACAAATCCAAAAAAATTAAAACAAAATTTAATGAAGAAGAAGACCGCTAATGAGACATTAGCAGTGGTAAAAGCAAAAGAAATAATCAAAACTTTTTTGAAATTTTCCTAGACAAAAATCAAATCTAAGAAGCTGTAGAACTAACTTAAGATTAGGCGCAAAATTTAAAAAAATTTCTTTCGGTGGATTCTTCCACAGCGGCATCTTAGCTAATATCTCCAATGTATGATGCTCGCACAAGCCAACCCAACCACAGTCTGTTAGCGCCAGTCGAATTAAAAGAGTCTGTAATCGTTGACAGGTTCAAGGAAACAACTAAAATTTAATTGCAATTTTGAACCTTATGAGTATTTGAGAAACTTACAAGAATTATTTTGAACTGAATTAAAGTTCGCAAAGAAGCAACTTCGTTTTGACTGTCCAGAGCTAGTGACTTCACAGTGTCCAAGATGTGGCGAAGATTTCCGCTTCGCACAAAAGCCATGGTTATTGTTTGAGAACCTAGTGAATCCTCCCGTAAAATTTGGACCAAGCAGCACATTGCAACAATCTGAAAAAAGTACATTTCTACAGGAACAGACAAAAAACTAAAGCAAATTATTCCTTCCTACAACAAGAAGGAAAAGTCAAAATAATTTCGCAACATTAAAAAAAATGTTTTTGTTCCGGCACACTGTACATTGTTTGATAATATAAGCGTGTTTAAACTGAGTAAGTCTGACTAAACAGTTTTACTAAAAAAACCTTTAAATCGTGAGGAGATTCACATATATCATTTGTAAGTCTGCTGAGCAACTCACTTCCGCGTTCACTTATTGCAGATCGTACAGGATCTTTTTTTACGACCTTAAAAAGATTTACAATAATAAAAAGAATTAGTCCAGAAATGAAAAAAGCATAAAAGATACTCTACCGTATTTTCCAAAAATCTTTAATAAAACTGGAAGTGTTTACACTACTTCCCACATGTACACATTGCTTGATAATCTAATGAAAAACCCAGTTCATATTCCTAAACACACAACACCCCACTATACCTCTATAAAAAAGTTCCAAAGTTTAAACTGATCAAGTAGTCATTACCCATTAAAGAAAAGATGGAAAAACAAAACATACTTCTCGCAAGTTTCCCGTCCTGATTTCTTTACCGTTCTCAAAACAATTATTAATTTCTATGAATTTAGCGACTTGCCCATTATCCATCAAAACCATCCATTATATCAAATAAGTTAATGAGAACTCCAGTAACATAACAGCACTTTCAAAAAAATTATTTTCAGTAATAGAAGAGAACGAAGCACGAAACCCTCAAAAATTTGTAATAGAAACCTCAACTGCGGCAAAACCCAATGCAAAATCATCATTTTCTCGCAAGTTCGTAGTCATTTTCTCTGAAAAATTCTCTTGTTCGTTTATGACACAATTGAGGACGTATAATACACATCCATACAAATCGAGTTTGCTTTGCAGAGACCGCCGACCTGGAATTAACAAAAATAAATATCCCTCAATTAAATTATTTTAGGTTGTTCCCTGAATGAATAATTTAAGTTCGAAAAACAAATTGTTCCGAAAAATTAAAAAATAACCTGGCTGGACTATATACAACGAAAGCAGATCTAATATAGGAGCAAGCGTTTCTCTTAATACAGAAACCTTCAGATTCACACTCTTCAGCATGTCACATATAGAAGTAACCAATCTGAAAATTTCAAAAATCTCTACGACACGAAAAAAATAAGAAAAAACTCTCATTTACAGCTCCAGCAAGTGACTTCTAATTGTTTAAAACTACATGTATAAAAGTACTTTCAAGTTAAAGATGGACAACGTTTAACCAACAATATTCAAAAAAATTAAAAATAAAGTAAAGACAAAGGTAAAAAAACAAATTGACAGTGACTATAAAGCACTAAGCTCCTGAAAAATTGCAAACTAATAAGTTCAAGAACACGGAAGAAAAATTGGAGAGATGTTCAAAAAAAGCAAAAGAAAATTTTATCCCAAATATACTACTGTATTAGAAAAAAGCGGTGTCTTAACAAGGAGAGTTAACCATGGCAGACGCATTCTGCTGTGGTCCACATTACTCCCAATTCTGTTTGAGTTCACCTAGCAACATTTATGTCACAAGCTCTACGTCGCTTTAAAAAATTTACTAACTTTATCATACAATAAACCCTAAATATTAGAAACTACATGCTCCTGATTTCCCCCTTAGTCACGTAACTGTTGTTCCAAAAAACCAACCTAAAGAGGCACTGCGATATTGCTGAGGAAAGTGCCGCGTCCATGTCCAAAGCCGAGCCGTAATGTGTCAGAATGAAGACTGCATCAGTTAGTAGATGTATTTGAAGTTCTGTTAAAACTCATTCACAGGAAGCACAAAACATAAGAACAGTCCTTTTCGCAATACATAAACCGTTTCCTTATTCAAGTGGTTTATAACTAAGCGACTAAAGTAGCTAAAAAATAAACGCGTTGAAAACCTGAAGCCACAAAAGGTACTGGTGCGAACACTGCCATAACATTGACAAAAGAAAGCCATCCTGAAAGTAACTGTCTTGCAGACGCTTCAGCAACACGTAGGCGATTGTACTCAACGCAATATGTTAAAACCTTCTCCTCTTCCTAAATTTGAAACCAAAGACTTAACTCATCAACTTATAAACTCATCACCAACAACTCCAAAAACAAAAAATCCCTACAAAATGCAAAAATATCAGCAGATTGTCAATACGCAAACATCACCTTCGAAAACCGAATAAAATAATCATTTTGCAATTCCGTGTCTACTGTTAGTGTTTCTCTCTTTAATAACCATACCAAATGTTCAATGTCACACTGTTCAACGTTTGACGTAGTCGGTTGAATGCAAAGTCCAATTATCTATGAAAAATTAGAGAGGAACTATAGCCATGACAATTGAGAAGTATATAAAAAAGATAACTTGTAAAGGTATACTTTCTGCAACTTTTTTGAATCCAAAATTTCCAAATTTGGGGGTTCCAAAACACAACTTTCCAGTCTTGTGTAACTTAACAATTTCCACAACAAATGGGACCCTAAAAACACAAGCCGATGTTTCAGAGGTTTGAACGATAACACAAATGCTATTCAACTTCCGCTCACCTGAACTCAAAAACAATCGTTTAAATGTGGTATCCTCTTCAGGAGACTTAGGTCCCGTCTCCGTTACCGCCATGTGTGCACTTTCGCCCGAATCGACTTCAGCAAACATTAAACGATAGAATCTTTCAGGCTGGCTGAATAGAAATTTGGCACACTATACGAGATTACCAATCAAAACTGATAAATCTCTCAAAAGTTACTTCAATTTCTAACA